TTATTCATAATGCAAAAAAGAACTTTGTGAGTAAAGAGTTCATCCAGAATGCAAAATCTATGTCAATCACTATCAAGAGCGTATCAGTTGAAGCACACAACTCTGTAGGTATAGTAGAGAGATATTATTACTCTCTATGCCGTGTATACGAGATCTTGACTAAAGAGCTTGAAGATGACAATTTGACGAAAACAATGATCCTGCAAATAGCAGTGAAAGCTGTGAATAATACAATCAGACCGAATAGGCTTGTTTCTATACTACTAGTTTATGAGATATACTCTAAATTGAGTGATATTAATTCATTAATTTCGATAATTATTCAATGTATGAAAGCTACAAAGAAAGCTATAACAGAAGTATGTTATATACGAGCTAAGAGACAGGTCACAAGAAACGCTTAGACTGAGGAATGGATCATCTACGATATCAGTCCTTACTCTATCGCTTAATTTACAAGTTTTAGTATAAAAAGAAGGAAAAGATAGCAATACATTAAACAAGTGGATTGGACCACATACTCTGATTGAAACGGATAAGGAAATATATGAAGTGGAACTCACCAGTAAACCAATTAAATTTCGATTTATGTCTGTACAACCTTTTTATGAAAAGCCTGAAGAAATCGAATCGAATAATAGTAATGATACAAATAGTAATAACAACAGTAACATTATAATAGTTGATACATCACGAATAAAAACACCACAACCGCAAACACTATTGTTAGCGGTATAACCAGATATGCAACTACGTCGTTGCATGAGAAGCAACTTGACTAATATGGTCAATTTGACGGATATCGACATTAAGCTATTATTACTGCAATTAATTGTATTCTTGCAAGATAATATACCTATACGATATAAGGAATCACGATACAAGAAAGTTGACAGACTAATGGAAAATAGAATCTTTAAAATCGTTTCAAAAGCTAGCATACTATTCGGAATACAACTATTTAAATCACGATTTGTTAACAAAATAAAAAAAAAAGGCACTGATAAAATATACACGAAATCACGATTAGTGATTCAGATATACCAAGATATAGGCAAAATTACTGTTTTGACGCAATCACCGACTATTCAATGCATTAGCCAGCATATTATACTTACACTTACTGCTATTTTGCAAACATCAAATAAGCATATTCAGATTTATTTACAGGATATCATACAAGTATATACCCAATCAACCACGACTTTGAATAGATCTATTTATATAGAAGTATCAGAAAAGGTTGGACTTGATTTCGGATATATACTATACATTATAAAGCCCTTATATAATATACTAGAAGCAGAAAATCACTAATTTGAAACCTACTATAATCACTATAGGGATAGGCTAAATATAACACAATCTACATACAATCCCTATTTACTTTACTCCAATAACAACATCAGCATCGTAAGACTACAAATCAATAATACTCTTATAATTACAAACAAAAGATTTACACAATTAGAACAAAAGCAATTGAAAAAAGCCGGATTTATAACTAAAAACAAAAAGCAACTCACCGAAGATTATCCACTTAAGTTTAATAATGGTTTAATCACTTTTAAAAGTAATAGAATCTATCTGAATCAAAAGAAACAGTACGATAATCTCCGAATAATCACACTAGGGAGCGTTGATATGCAGGGAACGAGGGGAAAGATTCGAAAGAATATCACTTCGAAGAACCAATATATCGCTCAACACGCGAGAGATGCGTATATCGCAACAGTATATCAACCAAAGGCATCATATTATTTTTTAATTGCTACCCAAATAATAAATCCGAAAAAAGAAGATGCTATTAAGCTCAATAAGATCATCAAATAGCAAATGGACAACCCAAGAAAAGGATTAACCTTTATACCTCTCGATATGGATTCTATCGAATTAGTTATCTTTATCGATGCATCCTTTGCTAACAATACTAATCTATCATCACAAATCGGCTATATTATATGCCTCGTAGATAAGCACAGCAATACTAATATCATCCACTGGATGTCGATCAAATGCAAAAGAATCACTAGAAGCGTACTAGCTTCTGAGCTATATACACTAATTCTAGGTTTTGATATTGGAGCTGCTATTAAGGGTACTATCAATACTATTCTCAAACCTAAAAAGCAAATACCACTTATACTTTGTACAGATTCTAAGTCACTATATGACCTATTAATTAAGCTCAGTACAAGTACAGAAAAACGACTCCTGATCGATATTATAGCTTTACAATAATGCTACGAAAATAGAGAGATCACGGAGATTAAATAGATTAACAGGAAATCGAATCCTGCGGACGCCATAACTAAAAACGGTGTATATCAAGCTTTAAAAGACTTGATTGATATTAATAAAATAGTCATTAAAGTAACACATTAAATAAAAAGAGAATAATAGAAAAGGAGCTAAGGGAGTAGGATAAAACACTGTACTTAAAATTGAATAATGGGCTTAGATTTAAAGTATATAATTTATTCAACTTAAGAGTTGCCAGTATCGGGATATCGATCATATAATCTAAGAGGGCATTGTATTGCACTAGCGTATGTATTAGCGTATGTATTAGCGCTAGCATTTTTACTATATCAAGTACTAGCTTCCTATAATTAATAATAATCAAGACAAATAATACAATCAATTATATTGATAAGAATGAAGTACTTTACACTTTAATCAACACCAAATTGATACCAACAATTATCGAGGGATAAAAGCCATCTATTCCTTCAGCAATAGAGAAGGCCAATTACAGCCAGCTAAAACAAAGATCTAGATAATCAGCCAGTACCTTCCCCGAATTAAGGAGACAACTTTAGCAGGGCCTTATTATATACTAGAATATCAAATGGATTCCATTAGAGGCCTTACGAAAGAGATAGCGATAAAGTAGTTTTCAGAAATAATGGAATAAGCCATATATATAATCAGATTACTATATTCTTTAATGGATTAGAATAAACCGATAAGGATAGTAGGCGAATAGGATATGGATATTGTATATAAAGAACAGACAATAGTATACAAAGGAAACAGTGGATTGCATTACAACTCTTATGTATTCGATACAGAAGCAATCGGGGTATACCGAGGCCTCCAAGCAGTAATCAGAAATATCATTGGTATAAAATAAATGGAAATCTGTATATATATTGATAGCACATTAGTGATATAGGGAATGAGAGGCACAGCCTTTATCATATCACAGTGGGCTTTCCTCAAATGCCACAAACTGATGCAAACACACTCAATCCAGATCAATAGTCACCAGGCCATATAGGGATCGAAGGGAATAAGCGTGCGAATACACTCGCTGACAAAGGGACAAGAAAATCAGTCTCAGGGTATATGAATCAACCTACAGCAAGTGGTATCCATTCTATAGCAAAAACTACTATGGAATCGGCAGTACAGGCATGGTGGATCAAATAGATATTAATGCTCTCCAAACAGTACCAGAAATGAAACCCAAAGAGTATAAATAAATGCTTTAAGGAACTAGAACTCTCACAAGCAACTCTTTACTATATACTAGCAATCCGCTTAGCATATAGTAACTTCAAAAGCTATCATCAATAATTTAAATACGAGGAAGCAATAATCCACTATTTATACAAAGCATTCAAATCCCCCAAGTATATTATGTATTATCGCAAAGTCCTTGCGATCTATAAAACCTAGCCTCCAGATATCAAGCCCAAATACCCACTCTATAATCAAGCAGCTCAAGAACAACTACTGAAATAACTAATATATACATCAGCTAAATTCGCTAAATTCATTATTATAACAGATTTCTATAAAAGCATATGCCCTAAAACACTATCAGAAGAATAAAAAGAGAGAAGGAAAGGGATCGATTGATTTAAGTGAATATAAACAGGGAGTAGGAGGGAATAGATCTAGAAAAGCTATATAAAAGAAAATTGAAGTATACAGTATATTATACTATAATAAAATATATACAAAAGCTACTTTTATAGAATAAAGTAGCTTTCAAATAAATACTATATAGAAGATCGGAAAGCATACACAAAAATATTCAAAGGATCGGAGACAAAGGCGTAAATGCACTAGCCATCGCTTGGGAGACTACTGAGGGTATTGAGACCCCATCCCTAGGAAAGGGGGATCATGTAAACTAGAAGATCATCCCGCAGTTAGCCCAACCGTAATGCCCCCTGGGAGGCTTGCCTATACGGCCCGGTTGAAAATTACTAATAATAATAATAATAATAATAATAATGATGTCTATAAGTAGGTATAAATATTAAAAATAACATTAGAAGGTACCTGTAGGTATATGTAGTTTCGAAAGATTACACACCAAGGTATTATCAAGAACAAGTGATAGGACCTTTCTCTCTCTCTTAGAATAGTGAGAGCATTCCTCGGATTTATGATACTGAACTAAATGATTCTATGTGATGATTTATAAACCCATAGCGTTCATCTCGCATTTCAAAGATTTACATGATACTAGCGCGGTAGGATTGCTAGTCGCATGCAGTTGGCTAATTTAGCGAAATCGCTTCAGGAGACTAAGTCCGGGCACTAAGAATTAGTGCTTCGGAGCTTTCTTTCGAAGCATGCAAGTCACTGACATGCATTAGAATTTCTTTCCAAAAATTGCAGTTCTATAATTATACTTCAAAATTATTAAAGGTAGTTGAACTTATTGCGATGGGCGAAACCCCCGGCACTGTCAGCTTGTTAACTCCGGGTATTCAAATCTCAGAAAGATGCAACGGGAGCCATAATATAGAGAAGTCGGAATTAGTAGAGATTGCTTGGTAATATTAGATAACATTCAAAAACTTAATTGCAAACCCAATGTCAGTATTAAGAGAGCAAAGAGAAAAGGGTATAAATAGAGTTCACTTCCCACTTGAAGGGGGCAAACTTAACGTTCAGTACTTAGGTTCACACGGCGAATTGACAAACAAATATTAAGAATACTTTCCGTTCAATCACCTATTACCACTGGCTCGTTCAGGATGTCATCTCTCGGAACCGTGTATTCTTACCCCAACAACCCTCGTACAATGAAGGTCAGTCAAGAACCCGGCAATCCGAATGCAGATCTCACATACCATACCCTTGATCTAACATACCACCTTCCAGATCCAAGCCGCGGCTGCCTTCAACAACAGGACCATTGATCTCTTTCCCGATTTCGTCATGTTCAAAACCAACCGAACTCCCGAATTTCTCTCCGACTTCCCACTTGGTCGTGTCCCAGTATTCAAGGATGCTAACTCCTTCCAACTCTTCGAATCGGATGCTATTACCCAGTATGCCGCTGAAAGTGGCCCTGCTATGAACCAATTACTAGGATCAAATATCAAATCACGCGCGACCATTCGTCAATGGATATCTTTTGCTAATAATGAGATCTTTGAACCTATCACTACGCTTATCTTCTGGAGATATGGATTTGTGCCATTTGAGAAAGAGCAGAGGATGAAGCTATGAGAAAATTGGAGATTGTTTTGGGTGTTTTGGAGAGCCAGTTGAGTAAACACATGTATGTATCTGGTACGGATGATATTAGCTTGGCGGATATCTCTGTTGCTGCTGCTTTGTATTGGGGATTTGATCAGGTCATCGATGTAGAGATGAGAGGGAAGTTTTCTAAACTTGTGGAATGGTATGAGAGGACTATTAAACATGAACATCTTAGCCCTTTCTGGGGGAACAGAAATTTGTTGAGAAGAGAAGAGAGGGGGCGAATATTTGACTGGGATAACTAGATGAATGTAGAAATTGTTAATAAGCATGTGCTAAAGTTTGGATGGAGAAGAGAATGGAGCAATTGAATGATTGGTCTTAAGGCTTGATTCGATGCTATATCGATATCACTAGAATCGTATGTAAAAGAGTAGTTAAAACCCGGCACACCAACCAAACTCGCCAAACGTGGATTTCGTTGAAACTAAACATCATTTTGAAATCGAATAAACACCATCGAAAAACATTTGTAATATGTCTGAAAGATTACCAACTATAAATTAAAAGCTTTTCTACAATTTAAAATAATCTAAAATCGATTTAACAAAGAATTTCCAAAAAAAATCATCCAATTTTTCACCCACCATTTTCACCTTCCCAAACCTCCACATCACGAGACCTCACGCAATAAAATTCCACTCTCAAACGCACAGACCACCCATCAATCTCTGTTCCTCCCCCTCACATGTACATAAAAAGAAGCGCACATTCATATACGATTTTGAGTTCACAACCTAGTTATCCTCACTAGACAACCAAGCTTTTCTCCATCCCGCCTATTTCAATTCCAATTCTAAGTCCCTTGTCTATTAACGCTCCGATCCCGAGCCGAGCCGTCCGAGCAAATCTTCCGAGCGGAAAGATTCACAATGGTATAGTTAATCACCCCTTCCATAGTAAAACTACCCGAAGGCCACGAGAAAAGCATATCCAGAACTTTATCTCATCTCATCTCAGCTCATCTAGTACCAAACCACAACTAACACTCCATTCCCACACCCACAGGTACACGCCGACTCATCGACTTTCAAAGCCGATATCAGCAAAGCGGAAGCTTATGCACAGGTTCTAGACGAAGCGAGGGGATTAATTGATGGACAGAGGAATTGGGTATGTTTTCTTCTTTCTTCTTTTCTTTGGTTGGGGATTGGGATTGTCGATATTGAAGGAGCGAGTAAATTGTGAGTATGGGTATATACTAATGGGATATAGGTGTGGTAAATATTCAAATTTTTCGAGTCGTTATATCAAGTGATATGATATGATCTAGTCAGATGACATGTATATGAACGTTGAATAACGAAATGGTCATAGTAATTTATCAAACACAGCGTCATTATTATGGCATGCATATAAATCACTTCCCTCCCCCTCTTCAGAGGTAAACTGGGCCGGTTCGTCTCTCTTCCCTTCCTTACCTTTTCCCAAACCACCAACTTACCCATTCCAGGATTCTACACCCTGGACCCCACATCCACTCCCTCCAAGCCCTCCCTAATCCTCGGTCCCTTCCAAGGAAAAGTCGCTTGTCAAACCATCGCCTTTTCCCGCGGTGTATGTGGTACCGCCGCTTCGACTCAGACGACGCAGCTCGTTCCCGATGTGGAGAAGTTTCCGGGTCATATTGCATGCGATGCCGCTAGTCAGAGCGAGATTGTGGTGCCGATTGTGGTGGATGGGGTGGTGAAGGCGATTATTGATGTGGATTGTGGGGTGAAGGAGGGGTTTGATGAGGTGGATCGGAAGTGGTTGGAGGAGTTGGCGGGGGTTTTGGCGGAGGGTTGTGATTGGTAGTTTGGTGGAGATGAGTAGAGGGTTTGGGAGGTGAGGATTGAGCTTGTCTATATTTTCTTTGCAATCTTTTGAAAGAGGTTGCATTGTGTTGCATTATCACACTGTGTTGTATATGGATATATAAATTAGATGAGAGAAACACAGAGCACTTGCTGTACATCCTACTTCCACTGGCAGACAAATCTGCATGGCAAGGAGATGAAAAATCATCTCCGAGAAAGAAAAATCTCAAAATCTCAAAATTCGAGGATGCCCAGATTCCGAGCACATAACACCGCTGTGAGAATCATTCTCAACTCAAGCTATAGCAAGAATCTGCCATGAGCGACATTAACGAGTGGAGGATTAACTCTCCAGAGATACCCAACTAGTCGCTCCCTCCCTTCGTTACCCAAATTCCCTATTTTCACTCCTTAAACTGAGGAAGGGTAAACGAAACTATCTTCTGGTAGTAATCCCCTAATTTATACCTCTAACAAATGAACAAAACAGCCATATCTAGTAAACTGCAACTTATCTTAAACTCCCATCCATCCATCCATCCACCACACAAAAATATACAAACCCTCTTCGAAGCTCAACCATCATCTAAAAATATCCCATCACATGTCACAATGTAAAGCACAAACCACAAACTATAAACCACATCAAAAAGGAAAAAGGAAAGAGAAAAAGAAACAAGGCTCTAGGTAAAACAACCCACCTATCTGTCTGGTATCTCAATCCGTTATCATCATCATCATCATCATTCAACCTAGATACCTAGTAATCTTATACAATACAACACAACACTGAACTATACAAATACATATATCAGAAACCACTCACCAAACCGATATGAACAAGTTATTAAATGATACCTACTCCATACTCCATACTCCATACTCCATACTCCATACTCCATACTCCATACTCCATACTCCATACTCCATACTCCATACTCCATACTCCATACTCCATACTCCATACTCCATACTCCATACTCCATACTCCATACTCCATACTCCATACTCCATACTCCATACTCCATACTCCATACTCCATACTCCATACTCCATACTCCATACCCAATACACAGTACACATTACAAAATTAACAATTCATCACCCGCCCGTCCGACACAGCACAGCACAACACACCACGGCACGGTATACTTATTTATCAAGGCAGGTAGGTATTTTCCATTCATCGTATATATATACATATATATATATATATACCAACCTCGCTTTCAACCCACCAATCCCATTCTACCTCGAACGAATTTTTCCAAAAGAGAAAAATTCGCTTGTAAGAGTTATTGAACATACCCACCGCACACCGTGATGTTTTGTAACATAATCTCTGCAAAATTCATGTTTTTTATATAATCTAAAATATTATATCATTAATACAATTCTTGATATTAAACTGAAAAAAAGTTTCTAATAGATAATCTGGTTCATTATTTATTTATAAAAATTTCTAATTTATTTTTCATTATTTTTGTTAAAAAGTTATATAAGCTTTTATTGAAAAAGTTCAGAATTTTTAACTCGTAACACTTTTCCCATACAAAATAAGCGAATTTTTCGAATTTTTTCGAATTTCCAACTTTAACCCTTCAAAAATACTATTATAAAAATATTTAAAAATAAGTAATATATTTTTCTGAATAATTTTGATAATTTTGAATCTTTTTTATAATATAATGTCACGGAATTCACCGTATAGTGTTACCCTACGGTATTAATCCTAGTACTCCTCCGGAGTACTCTTTCCCATAATTACTAAAACTATTCACTCCGTTCATTTGGCGTACCCTATATACCTAATTAGGCGACTCCATCGCATAATCAGGTATATAAACCAGGTATAATCCTTATAAATCACACCTCAAGTCAATCTAGTTGTATTATCACTCTATATACCTATCTCCTGATCAAAGTGACCATTAGACATAGCTATTACCTCCGTGATAATACACTATACTATATTATAGTATATTTTATTTACTTGTAGCAGTAGATATTATATTATATGATATCGTATCAAATCGTATTATATTATATCATATTATGTTATATCGTATTATATTATAAAATAAAACGTAATTCCTTCAAGTCTTCAGCTACTCTACTTTATTCTACTCTACTCTACCCTCTACTCTTCATCTATCTATCTAATTTATCTAACTTATATAATAGACTATAAAAAGTATACAAGATAGATTACTAGATATATATAGAGTATGAGATACTAATTATTCATTCAATTACTCATTCATTTATTCATTCATTTACTCACCCATCCAACACACCCCAAGAACCTCAAGAACCTTAAGAACCCCAAGACCTCCAGAGAAAAACACTCTCCCCTTAAGAGAAACTACCAAGAAAAACAATCCCACAAACCCCAAGAAAAATCAAGAAAAATCAAGGAATTCTAGCAGTAAGCATCCCAAGAAGACTCACGGAATGAGTGAGTATTTTTTTAATTTATCTTTCTATTTTCTATCTTTCTATTTATTCATTAATTGATCTATTGATTGGTATACAGACACCTACCTACCTGTCTGTCTGTCTTTCTGTTCATCTCATCTCAATCTCAATCTCAATCTCAATCTCAATTCAATTCAATTCAATTCAATTCAATTCAATTCAATGAATAGGCAGGCAGACATCCAAGCAAGCCAAGGTTCATCCAAGGTTATCCAAGATTATCCAAGATAATAAATAGAATCGGTAAGTAAAGTAAACAAATGAGAAATTTGGTTTTTGGAGTATGGTATGGTATGGTATGATATGTACGGTATGGTATGGTATGACATGTACGGTACGGTATGGTATAGGAAGGTATGGTATTCTGTGGACTTGTTTGCTTGCTTGTTTGTCTGCTTGCTTGCTTGGGGAGAGTATCTAGTAAGTGTAATTGGTATTGGTATTGGTAGTGGTATTTATGATGGATGATGATATTGTTAGATAGGTAGGTAGGTATGGAGTAAGATAGATAGAAAGATAGTAGATAAACTCCAAGTAGATAGATATGAAACGCGACTAATCAAACAGTTTTGTTGATCTTCATCTCCAGCTATGAGAGGTGATACCAAATCTCGTTCTTTTATTCAATCCCTCATTATTATTCATCTGAAAATGAGATTTCGAATTTCGAATTGGTTCGAGTCTCATGTCCCTACCCCATTGGTTAAATAGTTTGTGTATATTGTGTACAAGTATAGAAATCAGCTTCTAGAACCCCTCCAACAATTAATCCTTTCATATCATGACATATCATCTCAAATCAAAATTAAATAATGGGGTCATCAATACGACCCCTAAAAACAGCCGTTACCTCGTATCAGCGAAGTGAGAAGTGAGAACCCCTTTGAAGATCGGAGGATGGAAAGGGAATGAAAATGTAACTTGTAACGTCAATCCTTGTTGGAAGGAATCGGCAATTCGTGGATGGGAATTTGGGATTCGGGAGATGTGGGAGGATGGAGTAGGGGGGGAGTGGTTGGGTTGGGTTGGATGTGGAAGGAATATATATCGTAATATTGTGTTGTAGCTACTGTAGTCATGAGGAATTACGCGCTGAGAAGTATCATTTGGAATAACACAACCAACAGAAATTGGAAATAATCTTGATTTGATGTGTGGTTTGGCATGTAGGAATTGGCTGTGAGTTGTTGGGGTCACGTAGGATTATAACGTTTGGACGCTGATGGACTTGTGGTTGAATTTGAGGTTTGAAATGATGATTGCCTCGTGGTGGGTTGATTTGGAGGTTTGGATGGATGGAGATGGAGATGAAAATGGAGAAGACGATGATCATTATGATTTGATGATGGCATGTTTGAGAATTGAGAATGGGAGAATCAGTAGTAGTGGATCCTGAGTATGAGAGTGGAATCAGTGGATACCCAATTCGAGTTGAATCGTTTGATGATTGATGATTGATGGTTTGATCTTGGATCCCGATGCGCTCTGCTTCTTTCTTGGGGAATTATTGGAGAGAAGAGTGAGAGAGTGGATTGGAGTGAGATGATAAAAATGGAGTCGTGTTTTATATTTAGTTTGAAACTGATTGATTGGCGTGATTGTTTGGTTATGATGATGATTGTTGTTTGGTTATGATGATGATTGTCGTGATGCTAATGTTCAATGCTTTTTTGACCAAATGATTTGATGATGATGTGATGAAGTGTGATTTGAGGGCAAAGTTAGATTGATGAATTTGAAGATGATGATGATGTTGGTGTTGATGTTGGTGTTGATGTTGATGTTGATGTTGATGTTGATGTTTTATGATGGATGGATGCTATGATATGATATCTTACTAATAAGTCATTAGAGAGGAATGAAAAAACTGTATTTAGAGAATACCGTATATCAATACATCAATACGAGACATGCATTGATGAGTAAGGTCTTGTAACCAAAATCATAAATCAACTACTACCCAATTAAGTAATAAACCAACTAATCATCCCATCTAGAATTAAACTTATACTTCACCTGCACTTCAAAGATTGAGGCACCGAGGTATTGAGGCTGTGCTCATTCATTACATGAATTGTAAGATAATGAGAGACATCTTCCCACGGTCGCTCGTAGTCACGGTACAAATCCATTTTCCACGCTTCACTCTCTCTCTCCCCTACCAATCTCTCAAAATAAACCTCAACACGAGCCTTTCCCGACCCAGAGATCCAATCAAAGGAAAGTAGAGTAATGATTGGCTGTAAATAATCCTAGCCGGGTATAAAGTTCGGACCCATTGAATAATTCTAAACCTTGAATGCCAAGCGTAAACTCCTGATTATCACTATGGTCGGAAAAGATCTATACTGCATTAGGCTTAGCGCCCATTAAAAGGATGGAAAGGCATGGCCTTCGAACTTCGAATGGGAACGAATCCAAGCCAGAAAGTAGGTAATTAGGTAATCTTGGCTGTGAAAGATTCCAGATATTCTGGACGCATCCCTTTTTAATAAAACTCTCTCTTCGCTCTCTCTCTCTCAATTCTCTCTTCTTCTTCTTCCATTAATACATCAAAACTTTCTTCTCCAACCTCTCCAACCTTCTTCCATTGACTTTTTTGGCACTGTCGTTCGTTGTAGTTGCCATTTTATTAACACTCTTCTAATTGGATCCTTCTTGAATTGCTTCTCACTCACTTTGGAGCATTCACCAGCCCGTTTACACTTGTAACCATTTTTCCCTTTACCTCGGTCGATTTCTCTTGACCGTCAACTTCTTTCGTATCCTTCCAACACGTCGAAATCGAATCAATTCAAAAGATTAAATTCAAAATGAAGACTTTCAACACAATCGCTACTTTGGCCGTTGCTGGCTCTGCTTTGGCTGCTCCATCTCCAGTGGAGAATTTGGCACCAAGAGCATCATCTTCATCTCTGACTGCCATCACAACCAAGGGAAATGGTAAGATTGTTTGGATTCCATACCCTCCAGAATCATTTACTAATCTGCCATAGCTTTCTTCTCTGGCAACAACAGATTTTATATCCGTGGAGTCGACTACCAACCAGGAGGTTCTTCCAAAATCATCGATCCTATTGCCGACAAGACCACTTGCACCCGTGATATTGCAAAGTTCAAGGAACTCGGTATCAACACTGTTCGTGTTTACTCCGTTGACAACACTGCCAACCACGATGACTGCATGACCGCTTTGGCAGATGCTGGAATCTACTTGGTTCTCGATGTCAACACACCATTGTACTCCCTTAACCGTGCTACCCCAGCTCCTTCCTACAACTCCGTTTACCTTCAAAACATCTTTGCCACCATTGATGCTTTTGCCAACTACACCAACACCTTGGCTTTCTTCTCAGGAAATGAGGTTATCAACGATGACACCACCACCAGTGCTGCTCCATACGTCAAGGCAGTTACCCGTGATATGAGACAATATATCGGAAGCCGTGGATACCGTTCGATCCCAGTCGGTTACTCTGCAGCCGATGTTGATTCCAACAGATTGGAGATGGCTCAATACATGAACTGCGGTACCGATGACGAGCGTAGTGATTTCTTCGCCTTCAACGATTACTCTTGGTGTGATCCATCTTCATTCACAACCTCTGGTTGGGATCAAAAGGTCAAGAACTTCACTAATTATGGACTTCCTATTTTGTAAGTACCCACTTCCTGATTCAAAATTTCCAAACTAACATGTTGTAGCCTTTCCGAGTATGGTTGCAACACCAACACCCGTGCATTTGAAGAAGTCAAGTCTCTCTACGGCGCTGATATGACTGCCGTCTACTCTGGTGGTCTCGTTTACGAATACTCCGAGGAAGGATCCAAGTATGGTCTCGTCAAAATTGATGGCGACTCTGTCACCGATAAAGATGATTTCACCGCTCTCAAGTCTGCTTTCGCCGGAACCCCCAACCCAACTGGAGATGGTGGATACAGCTCTACCAACAAGGCTTCTGACTGCCCAGCTCAATCATCTACCTGGAACGTTACCTCTGATGCTCTCCCAGCTATCCCATCTGGTGCCGCTGAACTCATGACCAAGGGTGCTGGTAAGGGTGCTGGTTTGACTGGTGCTGGATCCCAAAACGCTGGAGGAACCTCTACCGGAACTGCCTCTGCTGGATCTGGATCAGTTACCGCTGTTGCCACTGGTGCTAGCACTGCTACTGGTACTTCCAAAGCCAGTGCAGGTAACTCATTGAGCCCAATGGATAAGACACCAATGATCCTTGGTGGATTGATTGCTAGTTTGACCTTCGTTGGTGCCGCGCTTTTGTAGATTTAAGGTGGCGTGTACAATTTAATGGTTGGGATGGATGCATGAGATTAAGGTGAAGATGGATTGGATTGTATGTTTCGAATCAGAAATTAGGTTTTTAGAGAAGTTGATAAATTGAGAAGATGACATATGGACAGTGGTAGCATGATACCTTTACTCTTCTACATGATGGATGGGATAAAAGAATATAAAACAAATTCCAAACAAAACACTTTGTATTTCCTTTGTTTTCTTTTGTTTTTGGGTTCTTGGGTTGTGTTTGTGATTTTGTTTTGTTTTGTACTGTATGGTAATTATATTTACTTTTTGAATTTGGAAGTGAGAATGAATGATGTGCTCTTTTGATAATGGGTACCTACTCCTTACCTATATTTTGGCTTTATTTGATTTATATCTTACTCTTATGTTCTAATAGTCTTACTACTCTTCTTGTTTCTTTTCCTTTTCCTTCCTTTTCCGTTTCCTTTTACCTTTACTTTAAGTAGGTTGGTAGATTGGTAGAGTGGTAGAATGGTAGAGTGGTAGAGTGGTAGAGTGGTAGAGTGGTAGATTAATTAAATGCTGGTTGAAAGGGGAAAGGGGAAAGGGGTAATGGTAAGTGATATGATGAGGAGGACGAGGAGGACGAGGAGGTTTGGAATTTATTTAAGGGGTTTTTGATGGGAGGGTGGGTTGTTGTGGTTGATAGGTTGTTAATTGAGGTGGATGGATACGATGGATGGATGGATGGATGGTTGCGTATTGGATTGGGTATGTTGGATTGAGTATGTTGGGTTGGGTGTATTGGGTTGGGTTTATTGGGGGGGAGGGAGGATTGGAGCGGGAGGGCGCTCGGAGAGCAGGTGTACGTGTAGTGTATAGACATCTGGGGGGCGATATTGGAGATATTGGGGATATTGGAGATGTAGCATAACAGGAGATAGAGTAGAGCACTCGAAGGGGATTCGAAGGGGACTCGATAACGATGAAGATGAAATGAATATATAATAAGGGAGAAATAAGAGAGAGGGGCAGTAAAAACATATATATATACCTATAACTATATATATCTGTTTATTTGAAGACATGATAAAGGGAAATAGTGTGGGCTATTGTGCTAATTGGCGTATTCGATATTTACTTGAGAGGAGATGTACGTTTCCGTAGCTGGGTGGGGAGAAGATCTGATGCGATGTGGTGTGATGTGATATTTTGCTGTGTCTTTGGTTTGCTGGATTAGGTATACTTGATATCTCGGAAGGAAATGTTGTGTATTTTTCTTCTTATTATTTATTGAGAAGAGGACTAGATGTGTGAGTTGGTGATTCGAGTGGTGAGTTTGAGGATGAGGATGATAATAAGAATCATGATGATAGGAATATAGGTACTCAAATTTAAATCGAAATCTTGGTTCTTAAATTTGGGACGGTATTTGATGGGGTATTTTGTTGTGGATGGGAAAGGAGGAACGGAGGAAAGGAGGAAAGGAGGAAAGGAGGGAAAGGAGTAATAAAGTTGCTAAGTGGGGGGTGGACCATAAGTAGGTAGATAGGTAGCTCAGATAGGTTTTATTTTAAGAAAAAGGGAGGAGGGAGGATCTTGAGTGGAAGTTGGGAGGATCTTGATGAGGGTGTGATGAGGGTGTGATGAGGGTGTGATGAGGGTGTGATGAGGGTGTGATGAGGGTGTGATGAGGGTGTGATGAGGGTGTGATGAGGGTGTGATGAGGGTGTGATGAGGGTGGTGATGAGGGTGTGATGAGGGTGTGATGAGGGGTGTGATGAGGGTGTGATGTGTGGTTGGTTGGTTGAGTATTTGGGACGGGATGGGATGAGATGGGATGGTTTTAGGAAATTGAGAGGTGTGTGAATGGGGGTTTGAGTGAATAGTTATATTTATAGTTGAGAGAGGGAGAGAGTATATGGTGGGGGAGGGAATATTCCCTTGATTGTATAAGGGTTGGAATGTTTTTGTTGTTTGTCTGTGTTCTCTTGTTGGTTTGGGTTGGAAGGGGGGGTTTTTTCTTTCTTTTCAAGACTTGATGTTCGATGTTTGTACTGCATAGAGGTGTTGATTTGCTTAATTACTTGTATATTCTTGAGATGAGATATAGAGTTCGAAAATCACACCGGGTGTGCGATATAGAGGGTAGAGGATGACTATGAAGGGGGTAGAAATAGAGATCGCGATAGAATAGAGGGATTAGGATGGTAAAATGTATGATATCTATTTCGCGAATTTTTGTTAAAGACTAGGTGTGATAATTATTTTTTTGTATAGCAGAGACAGGGGAACGGGAGAGGGAAACAGCGGCTGTGGGTTCCTCGTTTGGGAATGTGCATTCTATCCTGTGGAATCATGGATTTGTTTAATCTTGCTCCTTTAAATGGTGGTGATTTTTGGGGCATGTATTTTTTGTTTGTTGGGTTTGGGGAATGGTTAGTTAGTGAAATGATGGAGTTTTTTTGTGAGGTAGGGGGTTTGGAGGTGAGGGTTTGAGGGTTGAGGAAAGGAAGGGGAGGAAGAGGAAGAGGAGCTTTTGTGAGACAGTAGTCCCGGAAAGAAGATTGAGTTCGGGAAGGGTTGGAAGATGTACATTGGTAATGGTTTTGTTTGGGATTGTGATTTTGGGCGCGGTGAGGGTGAGTGTTAGATGCTATTGAATGAGCAATGGGGAGATGGAGAGGGAGAGCGAGAGAAAGATAATATTTTGACGTTATGATTGAGAGTGGAAAGGAGATGAGAGACGGAAGTTAGAAGACAGAAGAACCGAGGGGTTCGTAGCCCCTATTTCTGGAAATAGTGAGGATTGGGAAGAAGGGGATGAAGATATCGATTCAGGAACATCATGTTACGTATACGTATTCTTATCGCTATTGCTATTACTATTACTTATTATAATACATAAAGTAAGATTGCGGAATGAATATCACCTAGACATAGATAGATGGTAATATACACACAAACTTAAAAATAAAGGAGAGATTGAAGTATGAATGAGTTATATCTTCGAAAATAAGCGAGACAGAGCCTTTTTCTCGAAACCGTCTATCGAAGTATCGGAGGTGAAGATAAGTTTTACCTTTAGATAGTATTTATTGATTGAGTGATTGTTTGTAAATTTATTCATCTCAAGTGACGAGTGGTAATACGGACATAAGATTGATATTAATACTATAGAGCTAGATGTGTTTTTGATGTAAAATAAGGAGAATGACTATCATACAGTAGAGTCAATAAACCACGTGACATTTTGCTTATATAAATCATTATCAGTTATTACTCAGAGCTACTCGTACTTCTCGTTTAGATCCAAATTAGTAGTCTCTACATAACCGAAAAAAAGCGGCGGAATTGACCACCATTCAAAGAACTTCAACAACTAAGATCTCTTTTTGATAATATTAATAATAAAAACACTTAATATCAATACAAAAAAGACTCAAATTCTCGTTGAATTTTTCAAATTTCAATATTTAATTTGAAATGAATTTATAATCTATTAAAAAAGACCTTTGAAAGGATACTCAATTTCCGCCGCTTTTTTCGGGTAGAGGTAGTGTTATTTAATTATAAATCAGTCACTATATGCTCATGACCTATGATAGTTTTTATGTGATTACTTTACTTCCCATCAAACCAGCCCATAAAGATTCGAAAATAGTTAAACTCACAATAACTGTCATTCAATCAGCGATGGTTTAGGACTGCCGTGTTATGCCGCGTTAGTCGCGGAGTTGTGTAAACTTGACGGCTGGCTAAGCCGCTCAGCATTTACACGCCCGTTCTCTTACAACCCCCAAAAGCCGCACTCTATCAATCTTGTGGCCTCAAAACGTGGTGATTAAAAATGGCTTCATGTCCTGTGGTGCCACCATCCATTAGTCTGTTCAGCTTGAAAGTATTATTGTTATCAGCCCAATCCAATATTCTGTTTATGGTAGGGCTGTAGGGTACTATTGTACAACCGCCCCAAACATCATGCAAATCAACCGATTTGAAAGTCGATATGTAAGATAATTCGAAATTATCGTTCGCACTGCTCACGATCGAGAAATACTACTGAGATCGGTATATTAGTGAAGTGTTTATAATCGTTCTACTTGGGTACATTCTGAAATGAGAGTTGTAGGACTGATAATTTCCGTTATGCAACTGCAAGGAATCATATCATGGATAAGTCGAAGCTGCAGAGGTATTCTTGGTAGTCAAGATTTTAAAAAAGAGGGCTTTGACATAATAGGTTTACTATGCAGAATGTAGTACCGTGTACAGCATCAAGATGCGTGGGGTCGGGTATCGAGTTGGGTTTCCCGGTGCTGGTGGTGTAGGGATTCAAGCTAATGCTGACAGGGGACGGATCTACTACCGAGGCCGACAACGAACGGCGGGACGTTATCGTAGCTAGGTAGTATTAATCACAAATAAAAATCAAGATATTGAAATAATGATTTCATTTAATTGATGATTGAAAAATATAGAATTGGAAAGACTTTAATTTGTTCTATATCTTTTTTTTCAACTCAAATCGGCTTTAATAAAATAATTTCGTTGATAATTCTTATACGCGATACTATATTAGAAAGTTAAATAATATAGACTAGACTATCTGGATGTCAGGGAGCGATCACCTGATAGGGTTTATATAGTAGATCCATTGTACCGAACGTATTCGGAACACTCTACGCTTTTTATATATTAGTAATAAGTAGATCAATCCTAACACTGAATAATTAAATCTCTTGAATCGAGTCTTACTAAGCGAATCATTTTTTTCGTATATATTAGATATATATATCTAATCCTCGCGAATAGAAAGAAAATAAAGCAGATAAATCTTTATTCAAAAAGATAAATTCTTGGATTTCTTTTATATAATAGTTAATAATTTCTAGATATTATTAATTAAAAGAAGAAAAAATCTTCTTTATCTCTAATTCAACTCTATCTAATTGATATTACGGAGGTCGCGGTCATTTTGAAGAGATTAGATAGTTCTATATTTATTATTTTATTTATTT